CTCTCAGCACATTTTCCATAAGCCTCTCAAATGTCGCAGGAGCGTTACAAAGTCCAAATGGCATAACGTTGAATTGCCATAATCCAGATCCTGTGGTGAAGGCTGTCTTTTCTTTATCTACCGGGTCCATTTCTACCTGCCAGTATCCAGACTTCAAGTCCAAAGTAGAAAATAATTTACTTCCAGCCAATGTGTCTAATGTGTCATCGATCCGAGGAAGAGGATAACTATCTTTCTTGGTAACGTTGTTCAGCAAACGGTAATCCACACAGAACCTCGTTGTTCCGTCTTTCTTCTTAACCAGGACCACCGGAGAGACCCATGGGCTCGTAGAAGGTTCTATCACCCCGTCTTTCTTCATTTCCTGAACAATCGTTTCAGCTTCCTCTCTTTTCGCCTGTGGTAATCGTCGAGCTGTTTGACGAATTGGCTTAGCATTACCAGTATCAATTTTATGCTTAACAACGGTAGTTCTTCCCGTCTTTCCTCCTTTCGGTACGAAAATATCACGATACTGCCGAAGAAATTCCCTTAATTTCCTTTTCTCAATCTGATTCAGAGACTGTCCAGCAACTGCAACCATTTGATCAAATTTGTCGTTGGAATTATCAGACGTTGTCGTCTGACGGATTATGGATGTAACAGGTACACAAGTTCCTACTTTTGTCTCTTTCTTGATGGTCACTGGGTAGTCATTGACATTAATAAGTCTCACAGGAATTTCTTTAGCCGAAGTCACCAATTCCTTTCCAATTATGATTCCACGGCCAACTTCGTCGTCATGATTCCAAGGCTCCATCATAACAGGTGTTCCTTCGTCCACAATTCCCTGTAGCCGCGCTACTATTATCGTTTCACTTCTCGCAGGCACGACTGTATCTTCTTTAACGGCTGCTTGCATAGTGTTGTCATCATGTGGATGGAGAAATACCTCCTCGTTACCAACTTTAATTACCTTATTCTTAAAATCCAATTGGAATCCATGCGTATTCATTACGTCCATTCCTAATATAATATCCTCTTCGATGTCAGCAACTATAACAGTATGGATGAACTTTTCTGCTCCAATTCCTAATTGTACCTGGATTTCTCCATGAATGTTGGCATTTTCACCTGTGGCAGTCCGAAGTCGCAACCTCGTTGGTAACAGTTTCTTTCGGCTGTTTATAACTGTCGGGCGTATAATGGTTCTGGTCGCTCCAGTATCCACCAACAACGTATGCTTTTTACCATTTATTTCTCCATCTACATATACACTATCTTCACGACATTTCAAAGAAGCTATTAGTATCAGAGGGTCTTTGGTAAAGTTCTGGGTCGAAGCTGCTCCCCTAAGGCCGACGCGTTCTGGTTTTCTCTTCGGTCTTATGGTCTTCGTTTTCTTGTGTGTCATGCTTTTTATCATATTAAAGAGCTGGTCAAGTTTATCTTCGTCTCCTTCCTTTTTCACAGTTCTAACTTTACTGTAACCGCCAGAGGCCTGCGTAGCTGACTCGTATTCGAGGGCGGCGGATAAGACATCAACCAGCGTCTTGTGACGAGCTAATCGTAGTGTTCTTTGCATCTCATGATCACGAAGACCATCAATAAACGTTTGAACGGCCAACTTTTCCATCATGTCTTCGGGAGCTGTTGGATAAGCATATCGCACTAATCTGGCGATATCTACTTCATATTCTTGAAGAGCCTCATCTTTCTTTTGTCTTCGATTTTTGAGCTGCGACTGATATACATGCTCCAAGTGTTCGTGGCCATATCGCATATTTAACCTCTTCTTCAGTTGTTCGAAATCATCCGTCTCCTCTACGGCTATGGTCTGGAGCACATCTAAGGCATCTCCTCGAAGAGCGATAGTCAGGTTTACAGCCTTTTCTTTTTCAGACCATCCATTCGCTCTTGAAGCTGATTCGAACTGTTTCATGTAGTTGTTCCATGATGATTTTCCGTCGAAAGTTGGGACTTTGACATGAATGGAACTTCCACTTCCTTCAAATTTAGGCCGTGTTTCCAACTTACATTTTGTCTCGTCTTCTTTTATCTCTACCGGATCTAAAGCTACCGTATTAATTGGTGGTAGCACTCTCGTGTTAGTTATCATGGTCTCTAACTGTTTGATTTTCTCTTCAACTTTATCAAATGTTTTAGAGACTTCTTCAAACTTCTCACTATTCTGAATACATATTTCTTTAATTATTTGAGAAGTCTCGTCAAATCTTCTAGCAACATTTTCAAATTTCTCGTCATTTTGTCTAGCTACTTCTTTAATAATTTGAGACGTTTCATTGAATGTTTTGGAAACATTCTCATCATTTTTTCTAGAACTCTCTTCGATCATTTGTGAGACATTCTCAAATTTTCCATCGATTATTTTAGTTAAAACGGCTTCTTCTGCTGACTGGAACTGGAATGTCTCTGGGTCGTCTCCATTCTTGTTGAGAACAGTCTTCAGTCGTTCTTGGAGGATCTTCTTGGACCCGCTGCAGTCTTCATCGCGTTCTTCTAGTTGCTCACGCAACTGTTTCACTGAAAGTTCTACTAGCAGCATCTTTGGTCAGGCACACACGTACTTTTTAAATGTTCTTTCGTACAACGATCACTACTGAACTACGCGGATGTTCCCGACGAACAATACCTTTCAAAAGTTCAAAAGTCTTTTTCAAAAATCAAATTAAATTTATCTACGATCCCACTTCTGCACCACTGCGACGTTTGTATAGTTCTAATTTATTTGTCTTTATTCTAATTTATTGTCTATATTCTAATTTATTAAAACTCACGATAACTAATTACGAATTTATTAAAGTCTTTATTAATTCTAATTTATATTACAAATAATAATTTATGTTTCGTTACATTTAAATATCGCGGTTGCCGAGCTTCTTATCACTGCCTGCCAAATAAAAATCTTTCATTTATATACACAACTGTGTCATCCAGAGAATTCGGCGGACTTCTTGAATAGTCTCGTATTTTGGTGAAGGCGCTCGACTCGTTTTTCAACCTCGAGACGTGGATGACTCACTAAAATTACTGTCTAGAGATTTCTGGTAAACAACTGGTAGCTAAGCTCAGGTATATTTTGACCTACAAATTACGAGAATCAATAAAAAAGAATTAGTCATAAAATATTTACAGTTCTATATGCCATAACATTTAAAATCGTAACATTATATTTATCTTTTGAAAAATACGTTATTTTATTTGAATTTTCAATTTAGAGTATTTACATACCTACAATAATTTATTTACTTCAATAATACCTATCTAACTTAATATTTAGGTAACCTATATAATTATTCACATCTTGTGTATCTAACTCATGCCGAAAAAAGGATCTTTGATGTGCCGAAAATTAGAACATGCATTTAGAATGCCGATAATTGGGACTTAGGACACTTTTCATTTTATTAATATTTTAAATATTATAAGTTTGTTTTAGGATAAAATAAATATTTTATATATAATTGTGATATATTTTATTAGCCCAAGACATAATCTAAGTACACGTTGTTCAGGAAATTTGGTTACTAAACTAATTAAAATGAAGCTCCATTGTGCTAAAGGTGCCGATAATAGGTTACCTTACCTTACCTAACGGTAGATAAATAAGATTATGTATGTACCTATGTATGAAATTATTCAGATTGAAAATTTCAGAGCATTTTCGGCCATTATGCTTGGATCATATCATTCAGTGATCATGCAATTTTTGATCATGCAAACATAATGTAAACATACGTTTCCACATCTCGTATGACCTTGCCAAACAATTTCTTGTTCGTCTATGTGATTAATTGAAAAGTGTTTCAGCAGAACTAATGGGCTGCTCTAAGCGAGTGATTAAAACATTATTATTCACACGCTGTACCCTAAAATAACACTCGTTCCAAATTCTCCATTCTCCAACCTTCCTCTAATTCTACTGTTATTATTAATTACCTGATCATGGGACGAACCAGGCCACCGTGCAACAACATCCATTATCTTTAAACGTGCACACAAATTGTTTGTATTTTCGTGAGAAATATCCCTTTCGATTTCTGTATCGTTCTGCTTCATTTCCACCTGGAGACATTATACGAACATGAGTGCAGTCAATAGTACCAATAACATGAGGGAATCTGGAAATGGCATAAAAACCTTCTTTTACTTCCAAAAGTTCCATGTCTGCTTCTGGAAATTTGATGTATCTTTGTTGTAAAGATGCAATAGCCTCAGTGACCTGGGTGACAATAACACATGCAGAGGTTCTGCTTACTAAAGCAAAGTCTCCACATGTGAGTAAAAAGTTACCTGTAGCATAAAAACGCAAGGTAAGAAGCAATTTTGTTTCTGGTCTTATAGCTTGATTGCGATCTGTTAACGGTTTAATTTGATTTTCAATAAAATTTAGTATTGTGGCACATGTTTTCTTCAGTACCCGGAAGCGTTTGAAAAATTCTAATTCATCAAATTTCACGAGGTAATTTGGCCTACAAATTAATTTTTTTTAATTCAAATCTTTCCAACTCTCATTTTTTTTCCATTAAACTTGCCGAACTTTGAACAATTTCGTCTGTCGATATACTATTGCTTCTCTCTAGTATTCAGAAGCTGGATTCATTTCGAAAATATTAATAAAAATTAAAAATTTATTAAAAAGCAACAAATAATATCACCTATAATCTTATTCACTAATCAATCTGTCAAGGAATATGACACACACTAGAGACCAATAGAAGGTGAGAATAACTTTATCTCTAGTATATTCGCCCGAGCTGACACGGATAAGTTATCTTATGTTAGTTTATACCGAGAATAAACTTATTCCGAACTTGTAGAACATTGTGTAGATGTCTTCACACTGGCATCCGGTCGGTTGTAAAAAAGAGAAGATAGAGTGGGATCAAATTTCACCGTATTTAAAGCGTTGTACAATAAATGTTGACACTACTATACAAAGCAGATGAAAAAATTTAAATACTATGAGATTAAATTTTGTTCAATTTATTGGTACTTACAGAATAAAAGCTGTTCAGTGATTCTACACTTACACAGGACCTTAGTTCATCTCTACACGTTAGGGGTACATCACTACCATCAAACTGTAGTACCAAATTATCAAAACTAAAAAAAAAATTTTAATAGAAATAAGATTTAAAAAGTAAAATAAATCCTAGACAGATATGTTAAAAATACTTATGTAAACATAAAAATGTACCTTTTCGTAGTTTCTATAGAATCAACCAAATCAGAGCTGTGTCCCTTTTCATTATTTATCGAGTAAAATGGTAAATTCTTAGAAGTGAATATATGTTCTGGTTCAGTAGTCCCGGAAAATCTTCGGAATAAATTTAGGTTGCACGGTGAAGCACCAACAAAATCATTTTTCACACTGTCCCTTTTAATTCCCTTTTCGTCTATTATGTAGAAGTGGGTAGGCTTCTTCTTTTTTTCGAGGCTTAAAATTAAATCCAGATTATATTCAATACATCCACAATATTTAGGTACATTGTTACTGTGTGCCGGGCCCGACATCTAGAAGGTGCTAGTAATAATAATACCATATAATAAGCCAAGCGCTTACTATACAGGGTGTCCAGAAACTCTCCTGATACACGAAAACCGGAGATTCCTCAGATATCTTTAAAATTATTTAAGCCAATTCCCCTATGAAAAAACGAAAAATTTTTTAATCGATTTGTCTAGAAAACGGTGTCTCCTACATTTTTAAGTTAAAGACAAAAAAGTTATGCATTAAAATAACCGTTAACCTACCCAAAACGGACGCCTATGAAAGGTACTAGAAATTCGCAATTAATATAATCGATTCAACTCTGGAAGACAAATAATTGTACCAGTTTTCGTTTTTCTAAATAGAAGAGTTCTGGAGATATTGGAAGAAAACTACTTACAAGGCGCCATCTTCAAAGAGCGCTAGTTCCCTTAGGACTAGGTTCCCATTTTCGGACTAGGTGAATTGGGTTAAATCGTCTTAAAATTATTTGAGGAATCTCCGGTCTTTGTTTGTCAGAAGAGTTTCTGGACACCCTGTATAGCAGATGTCTTGTATATATCGAATCCGACGAATTTACTATGCTGGAAACAACACAAAACATCACAGAAACGGCACTGCAATAGTAGTTGCCCCACATATTAATTCGGCAGTAAAATCTTTCACTCCCCATTCAGATAGAATGATGCTTTTACAAATTCGAGCAACACCGGTGGATATTAACATATTACAGATTGAGAAGCCAAAGAAAATTCGAGAAGTTAAAGAAAAATGGTTTTCCAACGAATGCAGGAAAATAGAACAATACGAACGAAAATACGACAGTTACAATATGCACAAAAAAATAAAATCGATGACAAACAAGAGGAAATTCAATAAGTTACCCAACAGCATAAAAGATAGCGATGGAAATCTTATCTCGGAGCCACCAACGATCTTAAAACATGGAAATCATACATAGAAAAATTATTTGCATCTGACAGGACTGATGATCACCTATATGGAGAAGGAGAAACAGGACCTTCAATCTTTAAATCGGAGATAGAAGATGCCATTGCAGCAATAAAAAACAATAAGTCAGCAGGTCCGGACAATGTACCCTGCGAAATATTAAAGATCCTATGTAAATCAGACAAACAGTTCCTTGATAATCTAGTTGTACTTTTTAACAACATATATACTAGCGGAAAAATCCCGGAGAACTGGCTGCAGTCAACATTATTACAATCCCGAAGAATAAATATGTTTCAAGATTTTGATCAGATTTGTGATGACTACCGGCTTATAAGCTTGATCAATCATGTCACTAAAGCGTTCACTAAGATCATTCATAGAAGAATATATGATAAATGTGAGTCAAATATTGATAGATCGCAGTTTGGTTTTCGAAGAATATATGATAAATGTGAGTCAAATATTGATAGATCGCAGTTTGGTTTTCGAAAAGCATTTGGAACTAGAGAAGCAATTTTCGCTCTCCAGGTGCTTATACAGCGGTGTAGAGACGTTGATAAGGACGTGTATTTGTGCTTTGTAGATTTTAGAAAAGCATTTGACAATGTCAATCATGAACAATTGATAGGTATTCTGCGAAAGACAGGTATTGACGACAAGGACATTCGAATTGTGGCAAACCTATACTGGGGTCAAACAGCAAGAGCAAAAATTGGCAACGAACTCACTGAAAGCGTGCAGATTAAAAGAGGTGTCCGTCAGGGGTGTATATTATCCCCACTCCTATTTAATATGTATTCCGAGGAAATATTTAACAAATGTATGGAAAATGCAAATGAGGGATAAAAATAAACGGCGAGTTAACGAACAATATAAGATATGCCGACGACACGGTGATCCTTGTATGGAAAGTAATGGAAAGACTTTATTCAGTTAGTGAGGAATACGGCCTGAGCCTCAACTTCAAGAAGACAAAGTGGATGCTGATAAGCAAAAAGCAACAACCTGCCCGACAATTACGGATAAGTAACATACTAATTGACCATGTAGAATCTTATGTATACCTTGGCACCAACGTAAATGCAAAATGGGAACAGACCATAGAAATTAAGGCGAGAATAGAACGAGCTAGAGCAGCATTTAGCAATATGAAAAAGCTCCTCATACACAAGGATTTGTCTCTTCCCCTAAAACTACGTATAGTTAAATGCTACATTTTTCCGATCTTGCTGTATGGCGTGGAGGCCTGGACGCTGACGAAGACGCTAACGAGAAAACTAGAAGCATTCGAAATGTGGGTGTACCGACGCATTCTTCGTATACCCTGGGCCGAACATGTCACCAACATAGATGTACTCCAAAGAATCGGAAAGGAGAAGGAAATCGTGAATACAATTAAACAAAGAAAGCTTGAATATCTAGGCCACATATTGAGACACGATAAGTACCGTCTGCTACAATTGATTGTCCAGGGAAAAATAGACAGTAAGCGAGGGCCAGGCAGGAGAAGACACTCGTGGCTCCAAAATCTGCAGAAGTGGTTCGGGCTCACATCGGTCGAACTATTCAGAAGCGGCGCAAACAAGATCAAAATTGCCATGTTAATAGCCAACGTTCGCAACGGACAGGGCACTTGAAGAAGAAAAATTCATGGTGCCGCTGTGTTTTCGAACGCGCAACTCTCGAAACTGTGTTACAACTTGATACATTGCAGTTTGTTTTTTATTAGAAGCATAATAAAATGTGTTGTTGCTAATTGTATAACACAAGGGTACCCATTAAGATAGGTCAAATGCCCTTACTCTGAGAACTGAATTTTTTTTCTACATTTTATGTGCTTAAAACATAGGACTCATTGCAATAAAATCCTCTAAAAACAGTTTTTTGGAGTTTTGAATATGTCGGAAAAATCTGAAAAATCACCATTCGGAAAAAATCAGAGATAGTTTTTAATCAACTACACAAAATAAAAAAATTGACTTGCAGCCACCTCGAAAAAAAATATACGCTTTTTTTGAAAAAAATTCATTTTTAGGTTATGTACACTCAACTTGAGGGTCTATAAAAATAGAAAAATTGCGCTGCGTCTTATTTTTATCCAGATAAAAAGTAAAAATATGAGAAAATTGATTTAGTTTGTGTCGACCTCAAAAAGTATGATTACCTCCGAAAAAAACACTTAAAAACCGCGAAAAACATGGTTTTTGGGGGGTTAAGGAGTTTTGCCCAAATTTTGAATTTGAACCTTAAGACTTAATTTAATTTCATATATATATATATATATATATATATATATATATATATATATATATATAACCTACAAAAAACCTTGATTTGATCTATTTTGATTTCTATAAAATGGAGAAAATCCCCCAAAACCCCTAAAAAACAGTGTTTTGGATTTTTGAAGATGGCACAACATACAGAAAAATCTGAAAAAAAAATAAGAGATATAATTATTGATCAAAAATGCTTTTATAGAAAATGCACTTTTAGGTTATGTGCACTCTTAAAATAGGCATTTTGCCTATCTTAACGGTTTACGGTCAAAAAACCTTTAACAAAACTCCAGAGAGAGGCATTGATAATACCCGTACCAGAGACCAGGTACACGCGAGCCTCTTGCCAGTGGCATATTGGTGTGAACCGACCTCTAAAGAAACGTGTTCAAAAAAGTCCCAAGTAAAAAATTGGATTCACTTTATTAATATCAGCTCGAATCGATTTTACTTTGTGGAAAATCGCTAGTAAGGTCTCTGTTTGTATTGCAATTCCTCGACTATTAAATTAATAGTCCGACAAATGATGCAAAAATAGTTTTTTATGCACCAAGGGTGTCATTAAAATGATTACGCCCAGAGAGCAATATAAGCCAGCCAGAAGGCCTCTGGCCTGAGGGATGGATGTTACTCAATAAGTGTAATCATCCGTTAACACCAGTGGTACATACAACATTTTATTTTTCACTTCACATAATATAAAAACTAAAATTGAGACGTTTTAACTTGTTTGTAGTAGTCTATGACAGTTATTGATATTTTGACGTTTGTTGTTTATAGTATGTAGTTGTCAGTTGGATTTATATACAGTTATTAAAAAAATTGAACTATATATATATATATATATATATATATATATATATATATATATATATATATATATATATATATATATAGCGAGAGAGAGAGAGAGAGAGATATTGTTAAGTTTAAAAATTATTAGTTTTATAATATTTACTCCTTTTACAATTGTTTAAAATAAAAAAAAACTTCGTTCTATAACATATGTTTTTTTTCTTATACAACAGGGTGTTATGGGCCATAAGACCCGCTTATTATGCCCTGGGATACAACAAGTGTGTTTATGGTAACCCTATCCAAGCTAAAATAAACAAATAATACGCAAGTGAAAAATAAAATGTATTACAAATTCACTGCCGCCTTCGACCCAATCATTTCTGCTTCTATGAGAAAGTTAAAAACATGTATTATAAAGTACAGTAATGTAAAATATGTATAAGTTAACTATAATATTAATGATATCTGTTTCTTATGACATTTTAGAAAATGATCGACATTCAGGATGTCCAACCAATAATAATCATACTTTTCATCGATTCCATCGTTTAACTATGGATATCTGAAGAAAGAAATAACAGATCTAAAAAGCTGTTTTAATTCACAAATAACGAGCAGAATTGTTTATAGTGAGGAAAGACAGAAATCCCTGAAGATTGGTTAAAGTCCGAATTCATAACACTACCGAAAAACAACGTCCGAAAAACTGTAGCGATTATAGAATGATAAGCCTTATGAGCCACACTTTGAAAATATTTCTACGCATCATCCACAGTAGAATCAGAGATAAATGTGAAGAAGACCAGGATGAAACACAATTTGGCTTCAGAAATGGACTGGGAACTCGGGACGCCCTCTTTGCACTAAATGTATTACTGCAGAAATGTCGAGATCAAATGAAAGACGTCTTTGCTGTATTTATTGACTATGAAAAGGCCTTTGATCGAATACAGCATCACAAATTAATTACATTATTAAAAGATAAAGGAGTTGATAGTCAAGACATACGATTCATAGAAAAGTTATACTGGCGTCAAACAGCGACAGCTTGCATAAACGGAAAATCAACAGAAATATGTAAAATACAAAGAGGTGTCAGACAGGGTTGTATACTATCCCCACTGTTATTTAATTTATATTCAGATAGAATATTTAAAGAAGCGCTGCATAATTTGGAATGGAGCGTGAAAGTTAATGGAATTCTGATAAATACAATCAGATATGCAGACGATACAGTTATTTTAAGTGATGACATGAATGGATTACAATGCAAAAAAGAGAAATCATACGATTTCTACCTGGCGAAATCGAATTCGAATATAAGCCGCCGTGCCCCCTAAGACTTGCGAAGCAAACAGCTTGATGAATGCATCGACAAGGGGGTCTAAAAATTGCACTCCAAATGCCGTTCATTCACACCAAATCAAAATATAATACCGTCATTTTGTTTTGGATTACAATGCCTTTTAAATACCATTGATACAGTGGGAAGAGAGTTTGGCCTAAACATAAACTGTTCAAAAACAAAACACATGGTGTTTAGCCGTTTAGCACATCAAGATGCACGATTATATATTGATGGTCATATAATTCAAAGAGTGTCCAGTTTTAATTATCTTGGTTGCCATATTACTGAACAACTAGATCCAGATCAAGAGATAAAATCTAGAATCGAGATAGCCCGCACGACATTTTTAAAAATGAGGTCATTCTTCTGTAATGATAACTTGCAACTTCAACTTCGAAAGCGCTAGGTTAAATGCTACATTTGGTCAGTCCTCTTATACGGTGTCGAAGCATGGACATTAAAAATATCCACCATTAATCGTCTGGAGGCCTTTGAAATGTGGCTGCACAGACGTATACTAAAAATTCCATGGACGGCTATGCTGACAAATGTGGCAGTCCTTGAGAGAGCAAATGCTGCTCGCGAGCTGCTTGATAACATCAAATGTAGAAAGATGGCCTATTTTGGACACGTAGTAAGGGGAGACCGATATAATATTCTTCAACTTATCATGATGGGTAAAATCGAAGGACGCAGAGGAATTGGTAGAAAGTAGGCCTCTTGGTTGAAGAATATCAGGGAGTGGACAGGAATAAGGAAAGCTGAGCAACTCTTTAGAATAGCTCGAGACAGAGATAGTTTCGCCATGTTAATCGCCAACGTCAAGGGGACTTGATAGGGCACGTTAAGAAGAAGAAGAAGAGGAAAGACAGTTAGATTCAAAAATAGGATTTAGTGAAATGTCACAGTTATAATTCTTATTAGAGAATTATAACTGTGACAGTTATTACTAGAATTATTAAATCTCAGTTATTTCTAGACAATTTAATTAAAAAATTCGTAAATTATTTTCATTACCAACTTCTTTATTCTGTTTTGCTGACCTGATCGAACATCAGGTCAGCGTTCAATGACCTGCTCCTTTCTAGAGAATTCGACTGTTTCCGGAAGCGACGTCGAAATTTCCATTCGTCAGAGACGAAAATGCCACAAAAGCTCTAAAAATCATACGAATAAGCTGAATTTTGCTGTGAGAAGTCCATTTTGGGACCTTAAAAATATCCAAAAACGTTTGCTACTTATACCTTAGGCTCCCCTCTAAAACCCACCCTAGTAGGGGGGAGGGAACGAAATATATCGATTTAACAAGAATCTCTAAGCCATAAAAATATTTCAAATAAGAAATGTAGCTGAGATAATTTTGAATACAAATGTTTATTAGCACTTTTTTCTGTAGAATGAACCGTTCTCTCAGAAACAATGCTTGAAGTGACGGACAATTTTGAATGTCAGTAACGTGTGTAAAATTAAATTCACTTCAACAGTGTGAACAATACGAGACTGAATGCTAAACTACGAAATCAATGAGCAATTTAACTCTCTCAACCTTGTGGCAACGTTGATCTACTATTCCTTTCTATTGGTCCTAAGAACACGAAGTTGTTATGTATGACTTTTACACAGAATATTGTCGTACTTTTAGATGTTTTCTATATATAAATATTGAATATAAATATATTATACATAAATATTGATGTTAATAAATACATTTTATTAGATACCTTAACGAATAATATAGCGATCAGTAATCTATGATAATTTTGCTGCATGAGAAAGATTCAAATATAAATTGCTAGAATATCATCAGAAACTGGCAACGATTTCGTCGCTTTATCGAATTTATCACTTTCATTAGACTGTCTCGATGTAATTTCTATTATTAGAGCTTAATCTCTAAAACTTATAGTATGAACTTTCGATTTTGATTTTTGGCAACAAATACGAGGCACTTGAAATATGCCTAAAAAACGCTGAATATGAAACTTTCACATTCCAAACGATCTAAATCGTTTAAAACTCCTTTTTTTAGATTCATAAGTACATTTTTCAAAACTACACAACTTTAGCCACTTAATCCGTCTTCGTGGAAGCATTTTCCTTAATAATTAAGCTGTAACAAATTTTATATTTTAAGATATTTTATAGCGACCGGTCAATGGAAGTGACAGATTTTGTTCATTTCATAATAATCGCAAAAAATGGCAAAAATTCGCACAACGTCTATTTATTTAGCAGTTTTATGGAAACTATTTTTATTTGTGGCAAAATGCAAAAGTTGCGTACGTAAGCTACATTCTTCACTTTTAAAACACATTTTGATTTTTGTTAATAGGACGCCCTGATCAAAAGTTATCGAATTTTATCGAATTTATTTAAAAAATTGATTTTCGACGCGTAACAAAATTCCTATTTTCAAATTTTTTTAACATTATTGTTTAAAATTATCTCAGCTATATTTCTTGTTTGAAACAAATTTATCTACGGCGTACAGATTCTTGATAAGATGTTTTTCGTCTCCCTCCTCCCTATGAAGGGGAGTTTTAAAGGGAAGTAAGGAGTCAGAAGTGCCAAACTTTTGTGCATCTTATTGGGGTCCCAAAAGTGATATTCTCAGCAAAATTCAGCTTGTTCGTATGGTGTTTAGAGATCAAAACTCTGACAACTGGACTGGATGAGGAAGAGACAGATATTGAAAAGTAGAGTGAGAGAGGGAAATATTGTCTTTGGGAATACTAGACAACACTCAACACTAGAGATTTTCGAATAATTAATAATAAAAGCTTTATCTAAACATTAAATCGCCATCAACATTTGAAGATGTGGAATATCCGCTGGAGAGCAAAAAAGTGATGAATCATTAGACTAGAAGATAATTTTCCCTCGAGATATAAATTCGTATTATATTTAAGTATTATATTATTTACCCTCTTACCTGCCATTAGATCTTAGCAGATTGTATTGAATCCCTTACTTACTTTTTCACGATACGCCCATATCAGTAAATTGTATGCAAAGTTACTAATGAACAGTTATCAATGTTTTATTTACACTACTTTACTTCGAATAAATTTTCTTTATTCGATGACTTTATACAGCTTTTAGTGTATTACGGTATATTTTTGTTCATTTAAGTGAATAATTGTACGAGAATTTAATATAAATGTATACATACATACATATTACCAAAGACTATATAAAGATTTTCTAGACATTGTTGACAAATGTACAGGTACACATGATATTATAACGTAAATACTTACCAAGTGCAGAAAAAAAGAAAGAGTATCACTATAAAAAGACTAGCAACCGCCAATATCAAGCTTATCCCTAAAAAAGCCAATAATAAAAACATGTCCTTCTAATAATAGACTTATTTACTCACAATTGTGCATCCAAACAATCGTAACGACCATTGTGATTCACTCTAAAGTTGATTTAAATATAGTGACCTTTGCTTCAAACTTTTTTTCTTTTTAAACTTTTAAAAATAGTTTTGAAGTTTAACAACCGGCTTGCCTCTCCGTCTGATCTTCTTGTTTGGCTTGGAACGGACTTTACGTTTGGTCTTTAACAACCATCCGGCCAATAGTACGGTAATTGTAGTACATATTTTAAAATTTAAAATGTTCTAAATTAAAAAGGTGAGGGATATTGTTATTTTAAACATAATTGTGAGAATTTACAACAAAAGTTAAGCAGTTGGAAAATATGAAATAAACCAAGAGTTAAATGTCCTTCTCAGGTTTTTCATAAACTGGTTCGGAGTTTGTAGATTTCTCTTAAATTTCGGAGACATTTATATCGATACCTTAATTCTATAACTAGGTAACTCGACTTTTTTGCGATTCTGAGATATCCATTTTAAGACATCGGCCTTACTATAATACGCTATAATGTATCGAATGCTAGAAGTAGATATCTGATATTCTCCCTACTTCATTAGGTATGACATTTTGTTTGAAAGTAGGTATTTGTTATATGAGCCATTTTGAAAACTACAACTTGATATGTACAGATATCTACTATTCAGCACTAACGCTAAACGAGAAAAACATTTATATAACTCTAGTTACTTATCTACTTTTAGAAAAATATATTGGTTTAAAAATATTTCTGCTTGTTGAACCAAAACTAGATAAGTGACTGGTGAGCACAAAAAAAACATTTACTAGACCGTAATTCTACCTTTAGATCTACCACATTTTATTTGCCAGTTAATAATATGAGAACAAAGGTTTGTAAAACATTTTTTATTAATACACTTGCTATAAAGAAGGGAGTAGTCAATATTGCTGTTACAAAGAGAAGTAAAATGAATATGGGGTGAAAGGATTTTCGAGGAAATATTACTAAAAAATGTACACCGCAACATATAGTCGATGATATCAGAAAAAACATAGAAAGTTTTCCAGTTGTACCATCCCACTATTGTCGGGAACGAACAACTAGAAAATATTTAGCACTACATCTGAACATCACTACAATGTATAAAATGTACATAGAGCAATATAGGGTACGAGGAAAAACTCCTGCTAAGTAATGCATGTGTCGAAAGATATTCAGTGAAAACTATAATTTAGGATTTCACACACCTAAAAAAGACCAGTGCTCCATATGTATGCACTTTACAAATGCATAGGCTGTAGACAACGTACACTTAAAAGAAAAATATAATGTGCACATTGAAGCCAAAAATAGTACTAGGGATGAGAAAAAAAAGACAAAGAGCTGGCTACAACGTCGAACAATATTATAAATTGTAATTTTGATTTACAACAGGTATTGCTGGCCCCTAGCGATAAAAAAAAACAATACTTTGTTTTATAAACGCAGACTGACCACGTACAACTTTACCATCTACAATGTGGTGTTCAAACAGGGTGACTGTTTCTTGTGGCATTAACCTGAAGGTGCTAGGGGAAGTTGCGAAGTAGCCAGATGTTTATATACATATATTACCCTGCTTCCAAAACACATCGACCAGGTAATTCTCTATGGCGACCGGTGTGGAGGTCAAAATCTGTTTAAAAGCAGTTCAAGATATTAAACACATTAAGATCATTGATATAAAATACCTAGGGATAAGACATTCAGAAATGGAATTCGATTCCATTCACGCTGCAATAAGTCACGAAATTAAAAGAGTGGGAAAAATTTCATGGCCAGAAGACTACAAAACTATATCAAGAAATGCTAGACGAAGAGGTGATAAACCGTATGTGGTTCATGACATGGACCATAATAGTTACTTCAACTGGAAACAGTTTACTAAAGAAACATTAGTAATGCGAAAGAAATTTGAGGTTGACAAATCGTCAAACGAGAAAAGAACTCAAAAATCCCCTTTAATTAATCAAAAAAATGATGAAAATAATATTAACTGGCAAAAAATTAGTTGGCTACAATTTAAAAAAGTTAGGCACAATGTAATTTTATGTAAAGAAAAATTTACCGAAAATTTTAAAGTATTAGACTGTAACAAACAAACCAAGTATAATATTCAATCAAATGTAGAAAAGTTATACCCTTCGAGAAAACCAATTTCCAATGCAAAATACAATGACTTAATGTCATTATTTACATCAAACCCACCAGCAATTAGCGTATACTATAAATTTTTTTATGAAGTTTGCCACATAGAAATTATATAGATGAAGATTATGAAAGTGGTAACGATGATGAATAGATATATGTAGTTTTTTAGTTTCTATCAAAATCCAATTTTTATGTTTCGTGTTTTATTTAGGGTTTTAATGTTACTTTGTTTGTTTTTATTTAATTTTTCTTATCGACTTATTAGTTCTATAAGTGGATAGGTAATTTAACTGTGTCAATTATAGATGTCTCTTATATAGAACCAAAAAGTAGATCTCTTTAAAACCAAAAGTAGATATGTTACATAATCTAATTTTATTTTTTAACAAAATGTAACTACTATTTGTAATAATTGTCAATATTACTCTTAATTTGATAATAAAATGTATGATTACAATATTTGACATTTTTATTTAACTGTTGTGTGGGTTTCAGTATTCCCAAAAAGGTTAGCGCATCATTTTTGTTAATTTTGTAAAATAAGTTAATATGGAGTTACCTAGTTATAGAATTAAGGTATCGATATGCTTCTCTAAAGTCTTTACTTTGAAGGTTTTATTCCATTTTTTTATCTTAACATTTTTGAATTTTCTTTTTTTCCTTCACTCTCTAGTTCGTCTTTCCATATATTTCTTGTGTATTTACCATTGTTCCTATGACCTATTTAGTCTGTTTACATTCTTCATTGCACCGTTCTATCTTTTTATTTTCCTGTTTTGTTTCGATATGATTTGGTATGGTATTGTTTGCACCGTTGAGTAGGTAGGTACTTTTGTCAATAGTGGTTCCCCGTTTATTAGTGTTTGAATTATTTCTTTTCTACAGCTTTAATTAGCATTTTATAGAGTTAAAATATTCATTTCTTATATTCTCTTCTGATATTTAAATCAGAACAAGAATTATCTGGACCTGAACCGACGGTTGACCAGTAAGATGAAATCAGTCATACCATTGATTTACTATATTCATAATTTTTTCTTTCGAAGATAAGTCATTGATATCTTAGTTTGTTGAAGGCTTTATTAACATCCAAGAGCATAATTACTATGAATTAGTTGTTGATGAAGCCATGTGTTACGTTTGGAACGTCTCGCAGTTACTTTCCGTGAAAGATTCGGGGTTGGAATAACACAAAATTAAATTTCAAGTATAAAAAATTACTTTTGTATTAAATTAGGCACGTGTGGCTTTAAAGTTGTATTTCGATACAGTTTACTTTGGTGCTACAAAATCGACTGATTATATCTATGCAATTCAAATATTATTATTATAATAGGTATACCCTACATTCCCAGACGAAAAAGTCATAACATTTAATTGCTCACACCAGCACCACAGAATAAGAAACAATTGTTGTTTGTTCTGTGCCAGCACTCAGCTGGAGAGACGATACGGTGATTGGGGAATTTTTAAGTAAACATATTAAGTAGTTATTCGACACCCTGTGTGTGACGTCTGCCACTCTCAAAACCTATAACTCACAAGAGTGGATGACTTGGAAGTCGACTTGAACCTCTTCCAGCGTTTATATTTCTTATTTTATTTATCTTGTTGATATGATTGATTCTGGCAGTTTACTGATTACGATAGCAAGATAACCTCTTCTTATCCTCTTCAGGATTTATATGTAGTTCTTATCCTTCTTCTTGGTTAAATTTCCTGATCGGGATGAATGGATGGAACGAGAACCTGCACTAGTCCATCGGAGCGGGCTCACCTGGTTTACAGATCGGTCCAGAATTTACGAGCGAGCAAGTGCTACAATATATATTAGTGGAACCCGATTAGAGTCTAATCAGACTCTCAGTTACCAAGCATCACTCTTTTAGGCTGAGATCTTTGTAATTCTGGTATGTTCTCAAGAGATAATTGGTAGGGCTTGCTCAGAGAGGACCATCCCTATCAGCTCTAAAGACCCTGAAAGCCCAAACCTCTGATTAGAGTGTCCTTCAGTATTGGTCGAGATTCTCAAGGAGCTTCTTTCGCGAAGATTCTAGGACTCATGGGCTAGTGGTGAAGGTAAGAGGCAGGCTAGGCTCCACAAACCGGGGCTATCCAAAGATCTTACAGCCCCAACTTCTCTTTCTAAAACAATGGAGATGCTTTCTAAGAAGTTATCTCTAAAGAGAATTGTGCCTATGTACAAGGTTACTAAAGGACTAGACATTCGGAATAGCTCAGATTTGGAGCCCCTACTGATTCTAGCAGATATGAAAGCCTTATGATAGGGGTGATGCAATGGACTCGCCTTGGGTCTAGTTGTCTGAAAGGCTCGTCTCTTGGTCCTACTTATTATTATAGCTATATATACCCTAGAGAGTGAACTGTGATTGCTTTATAGTTCTCGCAACACCTTCTTCTTTTTTGTGCCATAAAAATTTGTTGGAATAGGTTTGACAAGTATTAGCTAGGCTGGTTTTGTATAGTTCGCCCTTTAAGTATTTCAATTTTTTCAGGGCTCTTGTTATAAAACTTGTTATTTGGATATGATATGGAGATTTTAAAAAGAATGCATTTTAAGTAATAAGTTTATTCTCTATTTAACATCAGTTTTTCATCAGCATTGCTTTAGCTTACAATTATTTACATTGTTTATTAGAATATAATAAAAAATTATAATTTATCTGATCGTTTATCACTTTCTATATCATGTAACAACATCACATCCTAAATACTACCTAAGATAGCCTTTACATTATTTTTATAAATTAAAATTTAATTATATTATTAAAAATATTAAATACTGAAAGACCTACATAATTAAAATTAACAATCCACTGTTTGTATCTTAGGGCAGGGATGTACAGAGAGCGTATAACATGGGAGCTTAATGGTGCATCACAGTGCCTATCGTAAAGTTTGTTTAGCAGTAAATGGTTGACTTCATTTACTATCGACTATAAACATACTGGGTTAACCGATAATAGTATAAAAGGCCCGGTTTACCTGAGGTAACAATGGTTTACCTGAGGTACAAGGTCTTAACAATGGGCCAAGTAAGATAAATATTTACGACTGCAATAATTGAACTTAACCATTTTCTGCTAAACAAACTTTAACGAAAAAGCTTATCTTCGACGTCTCTCGTATAACGGTGCAATTCGGCAAAAAGATGAGTCATATACGAGATTCTTCGCGATTTTTGAAATAGCGACCGAGGTATTCCATAAAATACAATTAAGCAGGCATTCGGAATAGTGACCTTCGCGATCTAGAATATACGGCGTAGTAACAAATAGATTTGGACTAATCGAGATGATTAAAGAGTATGTTTGTATATAAGGAGGGCTATTATTAATTTCCTTCTTATTATTACATAGAAAGAGGCATGCATCTGCCCATTTTTTAAGGTCCACCATACTATATTTCTCCAAAAAAACCTTTTTATCTCCTCACCGGGTATTCTTAGGCGAAACCGCAAAATGTAACACATACCTAATAATATTCCTATTCCTACACATGAATTAATTTCAGACAGTGTATATCACTACTATAGCAGTGTATAACGGACTAATTGTATATCCGAAATAACTCATTTGTTTTGTTACTTATCGAAACAAAAAATAGAAGAAAATTCTTTTTAATATTTCTAAAGGTTATTTTTTTAGAGGTATAGAATTTTAAAATGGAATAAAACAAGGATAATTTTTATGAATTGGCATGAAATTGACTTTATTCAAAAGATAATCTTTTGGCATTATACATTATTTTTATAAATCAAAATTTAATTGTATTATTAAAAATATTAAATACTGAAAGACCTACATAATTAAAATTAACAATCCACTGTTTGTATCTTAGGGCAGGGATGTACAGAGAGCGTATAAGATGGGAGCTTAATGGTGCATCACAGTGCCTATCGTAAAGTTTGTTTAGCAGTAAATGGACTTCATTTAGTATCGACTATAAACATGCTGGGTTAACCGATAATAGTATAAAAGGCCCGGTTTACCTAAGGTAACAATGGTTTACTTGAGGTACAAGGTCTTAACAATGGGCCAAGTCAGATAAATTTAATAATATTTACGAACGTAATAATTGAACTCAACCTTTTTCTACTGAACAAACTTTAACGAAAAAGCTTATCTTCGACGTCTCTCGTATAACGGTGCAATTCGGCAGAAAGATGAGTCATATACGAGAATCTTTACGATTTTTGAAATAGCGTCCGAGGTATTCCATAAAATACAATTAAGCAGGCGTTCGGAATAGTGACCTTCGCGATCTAGAATATACGGCGTAGTAACAAATAGATTTGGACTAATCGAGATGACTAAAAAGTATGTTTGTATATAAGGAGGGCTGTTATTAATTTCCTTCTTATTATTACATAGAAAGAGGCATGCAACTGCCCATTTTTTAAGGTCCTATATACTATATTTCTCCAAAAAAACCTTTTTATCTCCTCACCGGGTATTCTTAGGCGAAACCGCAAAATGTAACACATACCTAATAATATTCCTATTCCTACACATGAATTAATTTCAGACAGTGTATATCACTACTATAGCAGTGTATAACGGACTAATTGTATATCCGAAATAACTCATTTGTTTTGTTACTTATCGAAACAAAAATAGAAGAAAATTCTTTTTAATATTTCTAAAGGTTATTTTTTTAGAGGTATAGAATTTTAAAATGGAATAAAACAAGGATAATTTTTATGAATTGGCATGAAATTGACTTTATTCAAAAGATAATCTTTTGGCATTATAATTTAAATATGATTTCTGGCATATGACTGTCGTGGCTGGCACTAACATAGTCTAATCTGGAGGTCCAATATAAATATTCCAAAATTTGTCGCCGTATTTCGGAAATAACGCGGCGAATGTTGTCCTCAAAGTGGTCAATCGTTTCATGCTTATTAGCGTAGACTAGCAACTTCACGTATCCTCACATAAAATAGTTTAGCAGTTTTAAATCGCACGATTTTGGAGATCAATTAACGGTCTCAAAGCTGAAATTATGCGGTTACCAAACGTTTCCTTCAATAAATCAATTGTGGCACGAGCTGTGTGACATTTTGCACCGTCTTATTGAAACGATAGGTCCTGCACATCATGGTTGTTCAATTGGGGAATGCAAAAGGCAGTATCATTAACTGTAACATTCTGCCCAACATCGTTTTTATAAAGGACGGACAAATGATTCCACCAATCCATAAATCGCACCAAACAGTCAGTTTTTCTAGATGTAATGATTTCTCAACATACATTTGAGGATTATCTTAACTCCAAATAGGGCAGTTTTGTTGGTTGACGTACCCATTCAACCAAAAGTGAGCTTCATCGCTAAACAAAATTTGCTTCGGAAAACCGGAATCAACGGCAATCTTGTTTTGGACCCACTCACCGAATCTATGCCTTGCTAGGTAATGATGTACCTTTAATTCTTGTATGAGTTGGATTTTGTAAGCACGAAAAACAAGATCTTTCCGCAAAATCTTCCATAAAGTGAATGGACATGTATCATAAGGCGTCAAGTCTATTTAAGCTAAAATACCAAACCCAAGTTGACGGCTGTCAAAATGGCCGACAGGTAAAACAGTGTTACCAACCTCCATTTCTATACCTCTAAAAAAACTCTATTTTTACGAACCGTAAGAATTTTATAGAGATTATGTAATTATTAAGAAGGATATAACGGAAATGCGTTTTTACTGAATGTAATAGCACTTTAACGGTCAAAACCTAACAAATTCCCTACGTGACCCTTACTTCCCGCAGCTCTGTTTATCCCTGCTTATAGTATCGTTTACTGGTCTAACTTCCATTAATCTACACAAGCTACTGGTCCCGATGAAGTCTAAATAAAGATAATATAAGATTTGTTTTTGCAGGAGCTTCCAGTAATTTGCTATCAATTTACAAACTGTGAACTTTGCACATACTTACTTAAACATTTTCTGCACTTTTCTGCGGCTTTAAATGCCTCTAATTTATACATTTACAAAGACTTGAGAATTTACAAGAACTTTTTATCAAATATTTCGAGTTTAAAACTTTTCAGATTTTTTGGAGCTACTGCAAAGTCTAACCTTAAAATTCTGTCTTATTTTCTGGCCACAGTTCCTGAACTCTTTGTCTATATCAATCAAAACTACTGAAAATTTTTAGATCCTTTCAAGAAATATAGTGAAATTTTTCATATGGATCAAAACATAAGGTTGTCGGTCCAGACTACTTCTGTAATTGCGTAAGTGCTGGTTTGCTTAGGACAGACTATACTTAAGATTGTAACAGTCTTCTATATATGTTAATATTATTGAAGACTCTTCTAAGCTGATATTAGAGAATTCAAACAACATATATCTCAAGAGTGTCAAGACCAATAACAAAAAATTAAAAGAGTTTTTTAATAAAAACGTTTTTTAAAGTTTTATTCAACGTTGGCCAGTAAAAGCGTAAGAAAACACGCATGTGAAACAATTAAGAATGACTGTAGTCACTAAAATAATTAGGAATGGGAATTATAATAACGATCATGTTGCTGTAAACCTGGAATAACAAATCTACATTCTTCGGTACGAAACCATTTCAGTTCATAAGTTAACCAAGTGGATGATATTCTTGTACTCAGGTACATTTCAATATTTTCAAATAGAGCTAGGACATACTTCTATCCAAAGTCATGTCAGGTTTGAGGAATCTGTACATTGATTTTGTGTCTAACAGTTAAACTAGATTCACTACTGAACGCGCTTTCAGAAGAAGTTAAAGAATTCGGAACTCTGACCTCCCTTAAGCTCGGAGACTGGGCCAGACTTCTTCGTTCCATTTCTTGGCCATCTTCTGAAATCCTGGATACTTTTTGGTGTTCTAGAGGAATTCTAGGATCCACTGGTGGTTTGTAAGGCGTTTCTTCTTTAGGCTTGTGGTGTCGATGGTGTCTCTTGTGGTGCTTTTTGATATCTTTTATCTTTCTTTCGGTCATGGAACCTCTTTCCCCGAGCGGTCCGTTTTGATTGTCTTGTATTTTGATATCTTCTTCGTCTAATTCTTCTATTGGTTCTTCGTCTTCTTCAATTATGCTGTTTTGGATCCACTCTCTGATTCTGTTTTTCTTCGCTACTCTGTCCACTGTTGTTTCGAGTCCGTATTGAGTGAGGGAGAAGAGCAGTCGGTGTTTTTCTTCGGGGCTGCTATGGAAGCTGTACATTGAAGGACAGAGGCCATCGTCTTCCTTTAATGCCTCATTCGTCTTCTCCATACCTGGTAAAAATATACAGAAGGTAAAATAAAATACCAATATAAAAATATTTTATTGGGTAAAACAAAATTAAGGAGAAAGCAACAAGTGGTGACATATGACATATGGAATATAAAAATTCCAACAGAAATAATTTTTATTCCAGAACATTTAATTGGCTAAACCTTGGAATAAAGAATAAAAAGGAGAAGTGTGAAAGTATGAAGCAAGTATGTTTTATTTAATTACAGTTGTGACGTGGTATTTTACTACAGTGGTATTTTATTACAGGTATTTCTTGTTTGACGTGGTTATCATACTTTAACTATTGTAGTGACGTTGCAATTATCGAAAAAGAAAAAAACTTAGAAGGAAAAAAGTTCGTCTAATAATTTTAATATCGTAAAATTTAAAAAGTGTTATGTGCCTCGTCAAATAAAGGTATTATGTACTTACCCTTTGACATCCATCTATCTTCCAAAAACCTATGTACCTCCGCTAGACCTGCTGGTCTTTTCTCTGCCCTTGGCTCCAAGTACTTTTTAAACAGTCTTTGTGCTTTGGACGAAACCAATTTGAACATTTTAGGTTGTCTCTTCAGAGGTATGTTGGAGTTCTGCCAGGAAAGATAACGGACGTAACGGGGATCATCCATAGCAGCCTTTTGCCATGGCAAACAGCCAGTGAGACATACGAATATTACTATGCCGAACTGCCACACATCGTGGGAAGTCTTGGCTCTAAAAAATACATAATTAGAATTTTTAAATATACAACAGAATTTGCATAGATATGATTGTTGTCAATCTTCTTTAAAAAAAAAAGTTTAAGAATTCCGTTATTATAAACTTACGTGTAGGTACCGTCCGTTGGCACCAAAAGGACTTCCGGCGCAGCGTACGGCAACCATTCGTTTCTTCTGAGTACTACAGTTCCTGATAGACGAGTCTCGCCAAAGTCACACAGCTTAATTCTAGAAAAATCCGATTTGAATACTAGAATGTTGTCTAACTTGACGTCACGATGCACAAGGTCTCGTGCATGCATGTGATCCAAGGCAGCTGCTAGCTGTTTGGCTACTCTTTTCGTGTGCAGCTCTCCTATACCGATTTCAGAGACATTTGAAGTCAAATCGCCTGAAAATAAAGGGAAGAGTGTTAATATAGACTTTAATTAAACAATATTTTTTTTAACTTCTATAACATAAAAGTTTTAGCAATATAGCAAGATCAAACGCAATATAGCAAATCAAACAAAGCCAGATTCCTATATATTGGTTAATGAACTCAGCCATTGATATTGTTGAGACTGCACGAATTGAAAAAAAGAACAAAAATGGATACCGTTCAGACAGAATTGTTCTTCGTAACCATCATGACTATCTGACAATACTCAGAAATAGAAGAAGACGAAGAAGTTGATAGGTCATTGAAGATTTTTATCGATTCAGGTCTCATTCCACACCAGAGAACTATATTAAACACTATCAAGAGTGAACTTAATGAAAAAAAGAGAAAAGGTGAACAAAATTTATTTATTAAGTACTTAAATGGCACTCCTAGAATAATGAGAAAAAACTAATACAGTCTTTATGAATGAGTTTATTTATGAATGAATTCTCACTAAAGTATTATCATATTCAACGAGACTTGGTTGACGTGAAAAGCTGCACTTGTTGACCTCAACATATATAGAACCGATCGTTCCAGGGAAACAAATTCATTCTCAAGAGGTGGTGGAGTCCTAATTGCAGTTCATAAGAGCTTTAGCAGCAGTAGATCTTTAACAATTAACAAGACAATCGAACAACTTTTTGTCTTGGTGATAAAGGTGCAAATCAGTTTATTATAGGAACAGCATATTTTCCACAAAAGTCTACATTTGAAAAATATTCCATAATTTATGAAACCTTAGAACAAATAGCTGAAATTTATCCGTCTGCACATTATTATCTGGCTGCTGACTTCAATTAACCAAACTATGAAGGATATTCAAATGACATGTGCTCTACAACAATTCCTCTACCAGCTGCCACAGCATCCGAAGTTGAAGCCCTGCAGGTTGTGTCTGATATTTGTGCATACTAGCATTTATTTCAGTCCAACACTATTGTGAATTCTACTGGTAAAATTCTTGATTTGGTGCTGATTGATGATGCTGATGTAACTGTGTCCAGGCAGATAAAGCTCTTTGGAGGGAGGGTATGCACCACACACCCCTGGAATTTGAGCTAAAGATGACTTTAGTTTACTTAGCTATGGAATTTTAACAAAATCTTAGCATGTCTCTTTCCGGGTATATTCTTCCACCATTCAAGAGATTTATTTGTTAACTATTCATCCTACTCTTTTTCGCGTGTTCGCTGATTCCAAGCAAGCTGATTTCGTTCCGACATTACGTCGTTTGACTACAATTGCCAGATGGTCAGCGTTGCCCAAACAGTAAAAATCTTCTCTGGATGGCTTCGTTAATAATTTGTTCATCAACGTGGCCCACAACAGTACAGACAGTACTCCTCCTTGTGGAAAACCATTTACTACCTTTACTTCAATGGTTTCATTTAACGAGGACACAATTATACTATTCGTCAAGGCCTCCGTTGCCTACTCGGTATAATGGAAGGAACTCCTCTTCTTTTAAGCGCTTCCATCACGGCTCAGATGAGACGTTTTGGAAAGGCCACCGCTATCTCTTTGTCTTCTAATGACTTTGAGAGCAATCTATTAAGATCGTTCAGCACAAAGTCTGTTGATTTTCCTGGATTGTACGTATATTAACGATTGTTGAGTGGTTTATCTCTTAACACTTCGTCACTAATCTTACCTAATTAGCAGTCTTTCCAACGATTTTGTTAGGCTTATTGGTCGGTATGATTTGGGTGTTTGGTCCATCAACCTACCTATCTTTAGTGTATAGGTGACCTTTACTTTTTGCCATGCCGTTAGAATGTGTTTCTATGTCAAAAAAGCTTTAAAGAATTTAGTTAGATGTAAAGTGATAAAGTCCCATCTGCAGAAAGGCTGCATAAATTCCATCCACATGGAATTTATATGGATGTAATTTATTCATAACCCATCTAACTTTTTGTAAGCTCGTGATTTCAGACGCCAGTTGCCAGTCCACCGCAGAAGGTCTTCTTGCACAAATTGGTTTTACTGAAGGGCTAGAGTCGGTAGATGATCCAAGAAAATGCACTTAGATTAGATTAAATATATGCTTTCATTAAAAGCATGCATATTTTCTACAAAAAATACATATTTTTTGCATATTTACTAACAGAAATGCATATTTTTGGGTAAATTTGTGTATATATATATGCGCATATTTTTCGCTTTTTTTGCTTCTTCTTCTTTAGGTACCATCTTCTCTAAGGAGGTTGGTAATCATCACAGCTATTTTCACTTTTGAGATTGCAGCTCTGAACAAGTCGACGGAACTGCAATTATACCACTTTCTCAGATTGTTGAGCCAGGAGATGTGTCTTCTTCCAATACTTCGTTTTCCCTGTATTTTTCCCTGCATTATGGTTTGTAGCAACACATATTTATCCCCTCTCATAACGTGGCCGAGATACTGTAACTTTCTTATCTTAATCTTTGATGGTATACAAGGCAAATATCGAACACAGTAATTAATTAAATCTTGCCCAAGTACTTTCGATCAATAAATCATCCTAAGGGGCATTTCGTCAGTTGTGGCCTATCCGACATGAGCAGAATGTGATACATGTAAATTTGGACTCTCTCTTCAATCCTGACCCCCAGGGGGAGTGTAGTGGTCGACGTGATGTCGTGTATTGTCCGTCCAGAGATCTCTGTCTCTGGTCATTTCTTTTCTTTTCTTTTACACAAAGACACAAAGACAAACAAACACTTTAAAATTTTTTTAAAAATGGAGAAGCTACATGTTATATAGAAGCCGGAAACAGAATGCTAATTACTGTGTTCGATATTTGCCTTGTATACCATCAAAGTTCAATTATTCGAACATTCAACCTTATATTTATTTATCTTAATCGTATTCATGATTTCCATTTCCTTTGTCACCTTTCTGAGAACTTCAACATTTGTTATTCGATCTACCCGACTTATTTTTACTATTCTTCGCTTTTTTTGCATTTTTACCTAAATCTAGTTAGGACTGTTTACTAGTAGAAGAAGTTGCCAAGCAATAAAAAGGTTAAAAAACAACATATTCTCTGGAGAAGATGGTATACCCCATGAGCTGTTAAAGTATGGAGCAAACGTCCTAAAAAATACATAATAAAACTTGTTGCATCCATTCGGAGAGAAGGAAAACTCCCAGACAGTTGGAATTTAGGTATTATAATACCTATTCACAAGAAAGGGGATCCACTAATATGTGACAACTATCAAGACATTACCCTCCTAAATACGGCTTACAAAGTACTGGCTTATATACTTTATGATCGTTTACTAGTATATACTGAAGAACAAATAGACAAATACCAATGTGGATTCCGAAAAGAAAGGTCAATAATTGATCAGATTTTCCTTCTCGGACAAACCTTAGAAAAGACATATGAATATGGAATTGATACCCATCACCACTTCATAAATTTTAAAAGTGCTTATGACAGTGTAGACAGAAGCGCACTTTATAATGCCATGGCAGAACTAGATATTCCGTCGCATCTAATAACATTGGTAAAGGCAACTCTTTCGAAACTTGAGTGCAAAGTCAAGATACAAAACAGAGTGTCAAGGTCTTTTCAAACACATATTGGATTACGCCAGGGAGACAGTCTATCGTGTCTATTGTTTAACATCGCGCTAGAAATAGCCATAGAGAAATCGGGCATAACAACCAGAGGCACGATCATCAATAGAAGTGTACAAGTATTGGCCTACGCAGATGACATTGACATAGTAACATGGATAAAACGAGATCTGACACAGGCTTTTGAAACATTAAAAAAAGCCGCGAAGACAATGGCACTGCTGGTTAACGTATCTAAAACAACATACATGAAGGTCACGCACAGCACCCAAATAGCGCCACCACAAGATCTGGTGACAAAAGCACACACATTCGAAGGGGTCTCGAAGTTTACATATCTTGGAACTCAACTAAATAACAGCAACCTACTAAGCGTAGAAATTAAGAGAAGACTATACCTGTCGAACAGAGCTTACTTTGGACTAAAGCGGTTCTTAACATCACACATAATAATAGCAGAAAACCCAAGATACTAATATATGAAACTATTATTAAACCTGTCCTGATATAGGCGTCAGGGACATGGACTATGATAAAAAGCGACGAAGAACTGTTAGACCGTTTTGAAAGACGAATACTTAGACATAGATACGGAGGAGTACAAGAAAGCGGGATATGGTGCAGGCGCTACAATTTTGAGTTGTATCAATGCTATAAAAATGCAACATCGTCCGGTCTATTAAAATTAATAGATTAAGGTGGCTAGGACACCTTGAAAGAATGGACACTTGAGACTCCCAAAGACAGATATTCTATCAAGAGCCAGTAGGAATCAGGAAGAGAGGCAGGCCAAGATCTAGATTCAAAACTCAAGTGAAAGATGACTTGAGGAATCTAGGAGTCAGAAATTGGAAAGCCAGGGCGAAAGATAGGGGGGAATGGAGACTAATTCTTGAACAGGCCAAGACGCATCCAGGGTTGTAGAGCCAAAGATGATGATGATGTTAGGAGTGTTAAGTAGGCATTAGCAAAAAATGTTGCGCTGTAGAATCAACAGACAAAATATCTGAATGAATCACGCTATATAAAACATGTCTATGTATAAAACACTCTAGACACAACCAAAAAACGAACAACAATAACTATTATTTCATCGGATAATAATAATATATCAAATACATGAGTAAATAAAATTCCAGAGAATAGTTTACGAAACCGCATTGTGAATTTTGATTTTCTAATTATATTTGGCCGACTGTAACATGCAATCCGAAAACTTGGGCGTCAAAGATTGCGTTCTATGCCAACTAAAATCCACCGAGTATTAGATATACAGTTGTGTAATAAATCCGAATATTCAAAAAATAACGCGTTTGTCATTCTGGACCTAGACAATTTTTTCGGTGCTGAAACGTCATTTTTAATAATGATTAAATGCGTGGCAAGTGTCAATGAT